TAATAATAAATATGTAGGCATTATATGTACATACTGGAGGATCCCAGAGTTTGGCAGCTGACACCATCAACACTTAACTAGTTTGTCTTAGTTTAATATGTTTATTATGCACCCCATACCCATCCTGTGGGTGGTAATTACCCCATACCCATCCTGTAGGTGGTAGTCACCCCATACCTATCCTGTGGATGGTAGTCACCCCATACCCATCCTGTGGGTGGTAGTCACCCCATACCCATCCTGTGGATGGTAGTCACCCCATACCCATCCTGTGGATGGTAGTCACCCCATACCCATCCTGTGGGTGGTAGTCACCCAATACCCACCCTGTGGGTGGTAGTCACCCCACACCCATCCTGTGGGTGGTAGTCACCCAATACCCATCCTGGGGTGGTAGTCACCCAATACCCATCCTATGGGTGGTAGTCACCCAATACCCATCCTGTGGGTGGTAGTCACCCCATACCCATCCTGTGGGTGCTAGTCACCCCATACCATCCTGTGGGTGGTAGTCACCCCATACCCATCCTGTGGGTGGTAGTCACCCAATACCCACCCTGTGGGTGGTAGTCACCCCACACCCATCCTGTGGGTGGTAGTCACCCAATACCCATCCTGTGGATGGTAGTCACCCCATACCCATCCTGTGGGTGGTAGTCACCCCATACCATCCTGTGGGTGGTAGTCACCCCATACCACCCTGTGGGTGGTAGTTACCCCACACCCATCCTGTGGGTGCTAGTCACCCAATACTCATCCTGTGGGTGGTAGTCACCCCATACCATCCTGTGGGTGGTAGTCACCCCATACCATCCTGTGGGTGGTAGTCACCCCATACCATCCTGTGGGTGGTAGTCATCCCATACCATCCTGTGGGTGGTAGTCACCCCATACCATCCTGTGGGTGGTAGTCACTCCATACCATCCTGTGGGTGGTAGTCACCCCATACCATTCTGTGGGTGGTAGTAACCCCATACCATCCTGTGGGTGGTAGTCACCCCATACCATCCTGTGGGTGGTAGTCACCCCATACCATCCTGTGGGTGGTAGTAACCCCATGCCATCCTATGGGTGGTAGTCACCCCATACCATCCTGTGGGCAGTAGTCACCCCATACCCATCATGTGGGTGGTAGTCACCCCATACCCATCCTGTGGATGGTAGTCACCCCATACCCATCCTGTGGGTGGTAGTCACCCCATACCCATCCTGTTGGTGGTAGTCACCCCATACCCATCCTGTGGGCAGTAGTCACCCCATACCCATCCTGTTGGTGGTAGTCACCCCATACCCATCCTGTGGGTGGTAGTCACCCCATACCCATCCTGTGGGCAGTAGTCACCCCATACCCATCCTGCGAGCAGTAGTCACCCCATGTTGAGAGGGTTGGTGGAGATGTGATGGTTGGAGTTAAACACAGTCGTTGGATGGTAACACACATATTAGCAGAGTGTGAGAGGGAGAAGCCCAACCCTCCTGTGTTGCCTGTGTTGCCTGTAGACCTATGCGTGGAGAACTTAGGACGAGACCAGGAGCGCAGCGCTCTCATACGGCATCACATGACATCACACAAGCTAGTCATTGAGCCTAGCAAGGAGTCAACTATGTAAAGCATATGGATGGTACTATGATACTCAGATAACATATACATATACAGAGGATCAGCAACTATGCTGACACCCATACCCATCCTGTGGGCGATAGTCAAAAGATTACAGAGGTATATAATGGGTCCAGGGACTGTACCTCAACATTACAGAGGTACATAATGGGTCTAGGGACTGTACCTCAACATTACAGAGGTACATAATGGTTCCAGGTACTGTAACTCAACATTACAGAGGTACATAATGGTTCCAGGGACTGTAACTCAACATTACAGAGGTACATAATGGGTCCAGGGACTGTACCTCAATATTACAGAGGTACATAATGGGTCCAGGGACTGTATCTCAACATTACAGAGGTACATAATGGGTCTAGGGACTGTACCTCAACATTACAGAGGTACGTAATGGGTCCAGGGACTGTACCTCAACATTACAGAGGTACGTAATGGGTCCAGGGACTGTACCTCAACATTACAGAGGTACGTAATGGGTCCAGGGACTGTACCTCAACATTACAGAGGTACATAATGGGTCCAGGGATCATACCTCAACATTACTAAGGTACATAATGGGTCTAGGGACTGTACCTCAACATTACAGAGGTACATAATGGGTCCAGGGACTGTACCTCAACATTACAGAGGTACACAATGGGTCCAGGGACCATACCTCAACCTTACTAATGTATATAATGGGTCCAGGGACTGTACCTCAACATTACAGAGGTACACAATGGGTCCAGGGACCATACCTCAACATTACTAATGTACATAATGGGTCTAGGGACTGTACCTCAACATTACAGAGGTACACAATGGGTCCAGGGACCATACCTCAACATTACTAAGGTACATAATGGGTCCAGGGACTGTACCTCAACATTGCAGAGGTACATAATGGGTCCAGGGACCATACCTCAACATTACTAAGGTACATAATGGGTCCAGAGACTGTACCTCAACATTACAGAGGTACACAATGGGTCCAGGGACCATACCTCAACATTACTAATGTACATAATGGGTCCAGGGACTGTACCTCAACATTACAGAGGTACACAATGGGTCCAGGGACCATACCTCAACATTACTAAGGTACATAATGGGTCCAGGGACTGTACCTCAACATTGCAGAGGTACATAATGGGTCCAGGGACCATACCTCAACATTACTAAGGTACATAATGGGTCCAGGGACTGTACCTCAACATTACAGAGGTACACAATGGGTCCAGGGACCATACCTCAACATTACTAATGTACATAATGGGTCCAGGGACTGTACCTCAACATTACAGAGGTACACAATGGGTCCAGGGACCATACCTCAACATTACTAAGGTACATAATGGGTCCAGGGACCATACCTCAACATTACAGAGGTACATAATGGGTCCAGGGACTGTACCTCAACATTACAGAGGTACACAATGGGTCCAGGGACCATACCTCAACATTACTAAGGTACATAATGGGTCCAGGGACGGGACCACAAGTTACATCGGTGTTATAGATGTGACAGAGTTCTGCACAGTTATGTTGGTGGAATGTGAATTCAAGACTTTGTACTTGTGAATTTCGCTCATGTAATTTCTCACATGAGGGACATAATAAAAATTTTAATCTCTATTATTAAATTTTTGCATTACTGCATATTTCTTAGTCATGGCAGCGTCCATGGTTTAATATTTTGTGTGAAAATGTCGGTATTTTGTTTCTTGAACAGCTCAGGTATAACTCGAGAGGGTTTCTTGGGTCACCGCCCCCCACGGCCCGGTCTGTGACCAGGCCTCATGGTGGATCAGGGCCTGATGAACCAGGTAGTTACTGTTGGCTGCACGCAACACGACGTACGAACCACAGCCCGGCTGGTCAGGTACTGACTTTAGGTGCCTGTCCAGTGCCTTCTTGAAGACAGTCAGAGGACTATTGGTAATCCCCCTTATGTATGCTGGGAAGCAGTTGAACAGTCTTGGCCCCCAGACACTTACTGTGTTGTCTCTCAGTGTACTTGTGGCGCCCCTGGTTTTCACTGGGATAATGTTGCATCTCATGCCGAGTCTTTTGCTTTTGTTGTGAGTGATTTTCGCGTGCAAGTTCGGTACTAGTCCCTCTAGGATTTTCCAGGTGTATATAATCATGTATCTCTCTCGCCTGCGTTCCAGGGAGTACAGGTTTAGGAACCTCAGGCGCTCCCAGTAATTGAGGTGTTTTATCTCCGTTATGCGCGCCATGAAGGTTCTCTGTACATTTTCTAGGTCAGCAATTTCACCTGCCTTGAAAGGTGCTGTTAGAGTGCAGCAATATTCCAGCCTAGATAGAACAAGTGACCTGAAGAGTGTCATCATGGGCTTGGCCTCCCTAGTTTTGAAGGTTCTCATTATCCATCCTGTCATTTTTCTAGCAGATGCGATTGATACAATGTTATGGTCCTTGAAGGTGAGATCCTCCGACATGATCACTCCCAGGTCTTTGACGTTAGTTTTCGTTCTATTATGTGGTTGGAATCTCTTGGACTATAATTTTTGAGAGGATTATCTACTTTTTTTCCCCTTATCATGTTAAGAGAAGAACTGATATATTGTTCTTTTTCCCAATTATAGTTTAATTTCGCAGAAATTTGTTTCATTTACTCCTTCATTTGGTCTAATAAAAATTAAATACACATTGGTAAGTAATACTTATCAGTAGGCTGCTAGGACAGTTTATATAATCCTTTTTTGTGTCATTATAACTCTAGATAAAACGTACCATTTCCCTTCATGATAATAATAATTATATTTCATCATGATACAATGTTTGTGTCTATGTTAAAAGTCCCTTAATATGCAAAGTATTTCTGGCAAACTTAAAACTAACTTCAGATTAATAAGGTAATAGCAATATGAATAATTTTGTACGTAGTTATTTAGGTGAGTGTAATTGTAAATTTATAATGAATATAAGAGTATTGAATATTGTATTAGTTCTTTTTTTTTTTTTCTCCCGGCCCGGGCCTTTTCCAAGTGGTGGCCCGGCCTTGGCTCCCTCTTTAGGGAGTGTCTGAGACCTAAGTCTCCCATGGGAGGAGGCACAAGTACCTCCTCATCTTTGGGACCAACTGTCCCCAGGCCTAGCCACAAGCTAGGCCTCTCTGGTCTGCCATCCCCGCCACAAGGGGACAAATGGGAATGACAGTCTTGTGAGCTAAAGGCTCGGGCTCAGGCACCTACCCTACCCTAGAAGGGTTGGGCATGGTGTCGATGTGTGTATTAGTTCATGCTATATGGGTTTATAGTCTATTATGGTCGTTTAAAAGCGTCTGATACAGTGAGGTTGGATAAATTAGTGTATAATACATTAATGGTGTACATATAATTGTATGTGTGGACAATATAATTAAAACAACACTTTTAGCAAAGATTTTTTATTACTAATATGTTTCTCCCACTGAGAGCTTTATGAAGTGCATGGAATATATAGACAGTGGTACATAGAGTATATAGGGAGGTCAGGGCCTGCCAGGTCACATGTTATTACAGGTGAGATCGAAGGTCAGCTCCTGGTATCTTGCGTTTAATATGTTGATACAAAAATATCTGTGCAGTGGGTCCAGACAAACTGTACATCTCACTGTTTTGTTCTTGGATGTTGTGAGTTTATATAGGTACAGGTACACACAGGTACAATTATCATATATAGTGGAAATTACCTAGAATCACCCAAACAATTCAGACAAAGTGACTTATTTCCATTGGCAGCTTCAAGACACCTTCGTTAAAGTCCTGTTATTATTCTTTGTAAATGCGATGTGTTTGTTTGCAGTCCATGATGTGTGGATGCACAGCTGTGTGCTGTGCAGGAGCTGAGTGTCATTCATGGTGGTTAAGGCAGCTGACAGGTGGAGGTAGGCCTCTTGCACACCAGTCCAGGTTTACATGGACACATCTCAAGGTATCCTCCCTTAACAATGGCCTGGCAACAAGAAGGAAGTATTTTAATATTTTTAACACCACAATAACAGCTAACACCACCACTACAGTTAGTAACACAGCCTCAGTCACACCATCACAGCTACAAGGTATAATTGCCATCCCATTCAACAGTCACAACAGTCACGTCAACTGTCTTCAGACAGCCACTACCATCATCACGTCCTCACAACTATAGATGTTTCAAACACTAGTATATTATCTTTGGCATTACTGATGTGGAAAATTTCTATAATCTTCCTAAATTCAGAATGTATCAATGGAAAATATAAAATGCCTCGGCATGATAGTGGTTTTCTTTGCTCTAATAATGATATGTAAACACACATTGTAACCTTAGCAAAGAAATAAATATTTTATTTTTATTTTACTGATTTAATAATTGTGCATTAAAATGTGACGCTGATTTGACCCTTCGAGAAATTTTGTGTGAAGGAGGGTGTGGAGCGGCCACTGAGCGGTACACGGACGTTTGAGCTAATAAATAAGTAAGTTTATTCAGGTATACACAAATACAGTTACATAGAATAATCATACATAGCAGCATATGTGTAGAGAACCTAGGATAACCCAAAAAAGTCAGACAGAGTGACTTATTTCCATTGGGGAATTTTAATTTTAATCGGCGTCATCGAGGCCAAAACTGAGTGGATCGGCATGAATTTGTAACGGGGAAGTTTACTGACGTTCCCTGCCGGCGGATAGCGACAGGAAATTTGCGAAACCACCAGTTAGATTCTGTTTGTTAGGTATGTGTTAGGTTGTGTTCCATCAGCAATAACTGTCTTCCAGTAATTAAATGGTGAGTGTTCATGATAAATTTTCCTTCCTTTCTATTGGTATAATATGCATGTATCGGTAGTTAGATGTTGTGGACCCATCAAACCATTTATAAATCACAAATCTAATATACAGTCCACTATATTATATTTATCAAGAGTTCCTGGTATTAACTTTTTATATGTTCAAATAATTATATGCCCGACTTAGTTTGTGAGTGGGTAAGAGTGTGTGTGGGAGGGTCATCGAAGCAGAGGTAAGAGTGTGTATGGATCATCGAAGTAGAGGTAAGAGTGTGTGTGGATCATCGAGGTAGAGGTAAGTGTGTGTGTGGGTCATCGAAGTAGAGGTAAGAATGTGTGTGGGTCATCGAAGTAGAGGTAAGAGTGTGTGTGTGTGGGTCATCGAAGTAGAGGTAAGAGTGTGTGTGGGTCATCGAAGTAGAGGTAAGAGTGTGTGTGTGGGTCATCGAAGTAGAGGTAAGAGTGTGTGTGGATCATCGAAGTAGAGGTAAGAGTGTGTATGGGTCATCGAAGTAGAGGTAAGAGTGTGTGTGGGTCATCGAAGTAGAGGTAAGAGTGTGTGTGTGGGTCATCGAAGTAGAGGTAAGAGTGTGTGTGGATCATCGAAGTAGAGGTAAGAGTGTGTGTGGGTCATCGAAGTAGAGGTAAGAGTGTGTGTGGGTCATCGAAGTAGAGGTAAGAGTGTGTGGGGGTCATCGAAGTAGAGGTAAGAGTTTGTGTGGGTCATCGAAGTAGAGGTAAGAGTGTGTGTGGGTCATCGAAGTAGAGGTAAGAGTGTGTGTGGGTCATCGAAGTAGAGGTAAGAGTGTGTGTGGATCATCGAAGTAGAGGTAAGAGTGTGTGTGGATCAACGAAGTAGAGGTAAGAGTGTGTGTGGATCATCGAAGTAGAGGTAAGAGTGTGTGTGGATCATCGAAGTAGAGGTAAGGTGCAGCCTAGTAGTACCTCAAAAATCCCATCTAGCTCTGAGGTACAATTAATCTTGGCGAGTTTAATATATTTTGTGCTTAGCTCTAACCCCCTAAATTAAGTGGATGAAATAATTCAGGAATGTAGCTGTGAACCTCATCCCCATAATTTCCCACAAATATAATTGTAAGAGTAAAGGTGGTGATATCTGAATACATTGGCATGTCAGCTGGAATGTTTGTGGCAGTATTTCCACTCTCAGGATGACTGCCGCTGCCCAGTAGACCAGGCTCTATTACCAAAATAAAAAAAAACTGAAAGTAATGTAAATGAGTATTTAAATGATGGGAAACTTATAAGTGATGTGTTTAATGGGAGTGTGTTGTTTAATGGGAGTGTCTGGGATGCTACCTAGAATGATCATTCACACAACGAAAAGTATAGTTTAAAAATAGTTTAATATGCTTATTATGCACCTCATACCCATCCTGTGGGCGATAGTCAAAAGATTACAAAGGTACATAATGGGTCCAGGAACTGTACCTCAACATTACAGAGGTTCATAATGGGTCCAGGGACTGTACCTTAACATTACAGAGGCACATAATGGGTCCAGGGACTGTAACTCAACATTGCAGAGGTACATAATGGGTCCAGGGACTGTAACTCAACATTACAGAGGTACATAATGGGTCCAGGGACTGTACCTTAACATAACAGAGGCACATAATGGATCCAGGGACTGTACCTCAACATTACAGAGATACATAATGCGTCCAGGGACTGTAACTCAACATTACAGAGGTACATAATGGGTCCAGGGACTGTAACTCAACATTACAGAGGTACATAATGGGTCCAGGGACTGTAACTCAACATTACAGAGGTACATAATGGGTCCAGGGACTGTAACTCAACATTACAGAGGTACATAATGGTTCCAGGTACTGTAACTCAACATTACAGAGGTACATAATGGTTCCAGGGACTGTAACTCAACATTACAGAGGTACATAATGGGTCCAGGGACTGTACCTCAATATTACAGAGGTACATAATGGGTCCAGGGACTGTACCTCAACATTAGAGGTACATAATGGGTCTAGGGACTGTACCTCAACATTACAGAGGTACATAATGGGTCCAGGGACTGTAACTCAACATTACAGAGGTACATAATGGGTCCAGGGACAGGACCCCAAAGTTAGGATAATTGAACACATATATGTCGTGCCGAATAGGCAGAACTTGCGATCTTGGCTTAAATAGCAACGTTCATCTTGCCATATAGGACAAGTGAAAATTTGTGTATGCAATAATTTCGCAGAAATCGTTCTGAACCTAACGAAAAAAATATATTTCATTGTGTTTGTTTAGTATTAAATTATTGTAAACGTATTTAAAATATATTAGTTGGGTTAGGCTAAAATAAATTGTTCTTGTTATAATAAGGTTAGGTAAGTTTTCTAAGATTCTTTTGGTGCAAAATTAAAATTTTTTACATTAACATTAATGAAAAAAATATATCTTTAAACGTATAAGAGAAAATGTTAGAAATGACTTAATTTTATTTTATATTAGGATACACTACCCTATAGTGATGCTTTGTTTTTTAAATGGAGTGGAACGCTGCCTGGTGGAAGTTTTAGTTTATTACGCATCGAAGTAGAGGTAAGAGTGTGTGTGGGACCTAAACTCAGTACCTGATCAACCGGGCTGTGGTTCGTACGTCAGCTTGCGTGCGGCCAGCAGTAACAGCCTGGTTGATCAGACCGGGCCGCGGGGGCGCTGACCCCCGAAACCTTCTACAGGTAACCCTATCCTAGTCATGTGGGAGGCAGTCGCCGGGAGGGACCAGCGGATGCTGGACTCTGAACGGGTCATCATCATTGCTAAACTCACAAACTAGTACTTAGTCACTTAGCCATAATACCAACTTACCTCATAATTTTGTAATATTTTAAACTTAAGATTTAATTTAAGTCTGTCCGAAATGCCTAGCCATGCTAGGTGTTCTAGTGGTACACTCTGTAATGCCTAGCCATGCTAGGTGTTCTAGTGGTACACTCTGTAATGCCTAGCCATGCTAGGTGTTCTAGTGGTACACTCTGTAATTATTATTTTACTACATGTAAACCACACAATAACCAAATTCTGTAAACTCAGCATTGTAATACTTATAGAGGATAAACTTTGAAACTTGGGTTGACTCGAGGCAGGTGACAGTTTCCTGACAGATGTCAGGAAACACTGTTATTGTTTTTCTAAAGAACACTGTGGTATTTCCTGACTGATATTACGCCTCCAACACAGTCACTATCATTATTATCATCATGATGAGTGTAGTAGTGATGATCAAAATGATGATAGTCATAATGATGACCACTACCATGATCGACACCACCACTACCCTCATATTGATGAATATAATAATTATGGGGAGAATGATAAATCTTGATACCATCTACCAAACATTCACAAGGAACATAACAATCAGTAATGCATAAGGAACATGCAGATGAAATTAATAATATCGTTTTTTACTAGCAATTTTTTTCATTATGGTGAGAAACAAAGCACTATCCCAGGACCTCTATAATGGAACTAAACTGACTCGAGAAATCGTAATGACACGGTAGTGACATCCAAGAGTCTGCTTATGTTGTTGGATGCATCATACACATGTGGCTCCTCCTGCATGATAGAATGATGATAGATGGACTGACTGGTGTCAGTCTTCCTCAGTCTCAAGTTTATATTAGTTTAGTTCCATAAACCATACCCCCGGCCGGGATTGAACCCGCGGTCATAGAGTCTCAAAACTCCAGCCCGTCGCGCTAGCCACTAGACCAGCTAGCCACAATAAGATTCATCCAACTAGGTATATTTCTACACCATAGGAAAGTTAGCACAGGCACCTCTGTGACCACAAATGCAAGTTTTTACAGACGAATCTCCAGCTAGCGTGGCCGTGACGAATTCTAGCTCAAGTCCCTTCACTACCGCTCGGCTCCGGGCAGGAGTGACATCCAAATATCCCTGGGAGGTTTATCAGTCACTTTTGATGCTAACATAATAAATACAAACCATAAAAGATGGATTATTGTCACACCCTTCACCCAACACGATCAAATTAATGCATTCACAGACAACTAACTTCCAAATGTTTATGAAATGTCAAAGAATTTTATTCCTAGTGGCATATTACCAGTCAATAAGTACCATTGACTGGCAGTGAGAATTTATTAATGATCAAGATATTCAGTCATGTCCAAGTTTTCCTTCACAAAATTCAATGTTCATATAAAAAATATTGTGTCTTAAAAACCAGACAAGTCACAACACAAATAATAAACAGCCTTGGCTAAAAAACAGCAGCTTCAGAGCCTATGGAAAACAATACAAAATGGCTTAATTCCCAAAGAACCAGCGGTGGCCCGGTGGCCTGGTGGCTAAAGCTCCCGCTTCACACACGGAGGGCCCGGGTGTAAAGCTCCCGCTTCACACACGGAGGGCCCGGGTTCGATTCCCGGCGGGTGGAAACATTTCGACACGTTTCCTTACACCTGTTGTCCTGTTCACCTAGCAGCAAATAGGTACCTGGGTGTTAGTCGACTGGTGTGGGTCGCATCCTGGGGGACAAGGTTGAGGACCCCAATGGAAATAAGTTAGACAGTCCTCGATGACGCACTGACTTTCTTGAGTTATCCTGGGTGGCTAACCCTCCGGGGTTAAAAATCCGAACAAAATCTTATCTCTCTCTTATAATGTACATCAACACTTATTCTGTTGATAAATAAATCTAAACAACTATATTATGTCAATATATTTCAGAAAATAAAGAGTGATGTCAAAAGGACCTAGAAAACACTCTTCAGTACTAGGTTCATGTGAAAATTTTAAGTAGAAATTATACTGATCAGACCTAATGAATCCCCATTCATATTACTGGTACCGTAAATAACCTTAATGACTTTTACACATCTATAGGAACTAACCTTGTCAGCCATACCCTCAAATGTCCTAATTTACGCAACATCCATCATATCTACACACATTACTGTGCATTTTACATATACAGAAAACTTGGAGCAAACCTCAGTCCAGCACTCCGACTCTTTCTGAAGAGCTGCAACAAAACACATAGACATAATACAACAAATAAATATTTCTGATATAATACCTGTTCTACTGAACCTACTACATTTGGTAGACACAAACCTATCTAATATTATCCTGACGCCAAATGACTTCGAAAAGGCGATAAATTACATGCCCGTGCACTCTGCCCCAGACCCAGACTCGTGGAACTTCGTGTTCATTAAGAAATGCAAGAAGCCCCTATCATGTGCTTTAACAACCTATGGAGAGGGAGCATGGAGACAGGGGTCGTCACACAGCTTCTAAAAACAGACATAGCCCCACTCCACAAAGGTGGCAGTAAAGCAAAATCAAAGAACTACAGACGAATAGCGTTAACGTCCCATATAAAAATCTGAAAGAGTTCTGAAAAGCAAGGTCGCCACCCATCTAGATACCCATCAGTTACACAACCCAGAGGAGCATGAGTTTAGAGCAGGTCGCTCCTGTCAGTCCCAGCTACTGGACCACTATGACAAGGTCCTGGATGCTCTAGAAGACAAAATGCAGATGTAATATACACAGACTTTGCAAAAGCCTTTGACAAATGTGACCATGGTGTAATAGCACACAAAATGTGTGATAAAAGAATAACAGGTAAAGTTGAGTAGTAAACAGAGTAAAGTCTGAGGCGGCCCAAGACTGTTCAACTGCCTCCCAGCATACATAAAGGGGATTATAAATAGACCTCTGGCTCTCTTCAAGCAGGCACTGGACAGGCACCGAAAGTCAGCACCTGACCAGCCGGGCTGTGGTTCATACGTCGGGTTGCATGCGGCCAACAGTAACAGCCTGGTTGATCAGACCCTGATCCACCATGAAGCCTGGTCTCAGACCGGACCGCGGGGGCGTTGACCCCCGAAACCCTCTCCAGGTATCCTTAATTATTGTCTGCTTAAATTACTCATGACGATTGTAACCAGATATAAACATGTAAACTGTTCATTACCACTTTGTGGCCCAGTAAGTGCCTCTGTAATGTTGAGGTACAGTCCCTGGACCCATTATGTGCCTCTGTAATGTTGAGGTACAGTCCCTGGACCCATTATGTACCTCTGTAATGTTGAGGTACAGTATTTGGACCCATTATGTTCCTCTGTAAAGTTGAGGTACAGTCCCTGGACCCATTATGTTCCTCTGTAATGTTGAGGTACAGTATTTGGACCCATTATGTTCCTCTGTAATGTTGAGGTACAGTCCCTGGACCCATTATGTTCCTCTGTAATGTTGAGGTACAGTATTTGGACCCATTATGTTCCTCTGTAATGTTGAGGTACAGTCCCTGGACCCATTATGTTCCTCTGTAATGTTGAGGTACAGTTTTTGGACCCATTATGTGCCTCTGTAATGTTGAGGTACAGTCTTTGGACCCATTATGTGCCTCTGTAATGTTGAGGTACAATCTTTGGGCCCATTATGTGCCTCTGTAATGTTGAGGTACAGTCTTTAAACCCATTATGTGCCTCTGTAATGTTGAGGTACAGTCTTTGGACCCATTATGTGCCTCTGTAATGTTGAGGTACAGTCTTTGGACCCATTATGTTCCTCTGTAATGTTGAGGTACAGTCTTTGGACCCATTATGTTCCTCTGTAACGTTGAGGTACAGTCTTTGGACCCATTATGTTCCTCTGTAATGTTGAGGTACAGTCTTTGGACCCATTATGTTCCTCTGTAACGTTGAGGTACAGTCTTTGGACTCATTATGTGCCTCTGTAATGTTGAGGTACAGTCTTTGGACCCATTATGTGCCTCTGTAATGTTAAGGTACAGTCTTTGGACCCATTATGTGCCTCTGTAATGTTGAGGTACAGTCTTTGGACCCATTATGTGCCTCTGTAATGTTGAGGTACAGTCTTTGGACCCATTATGTTCCTCTGTAACGTTGAGGTACAGTCTTTGGACCCATTATGTTCCTCTGTAATGTTGAGGTACAGTCTTTGGACCCATTATGTTCCTCTGTAACGTTGAGGCACAGTCTTTGGACCCATTATGTGCCTCTGTAATGTTGAGGTACAGTCTTTGAACCCATTATGTGCCTCTGTAATGTTGAGGTACAGTCTTTGGACCCATTATGTGCCTCTGTAATGTTGAGGTACAGTCTTTGGACCCATTATGTGCCTCTGTAATGTTGAGGTACAGTCTTTGGACCCATTATGTGCCTCTGTAATGTTGAGGTACAGTCTTTGGACCCATTATGCGCCTCTGTAATGTTGAGGTACAGTCTTTGGACCCATTATGTGCCTCTGTAATGTTGAGGTACAGCCTTTGGACCCATTATGCGCCTCTGTAATGTTGAGGTACAGTCTTTGGACCCATTATGCGCCTCTGTAATGTTGAGGTACAGCCTTTGGACCCATTATGTGCCTCTGTAATGTTGAGGTACAGTCTTTGGACCCATTATGCGCCTCTGTAATGTTGAGGTACAGTCTTTGGACCCATTATGTGCCTCTGTAATGTTGAGGTACAGTCTTTGGACCCATTATGCGCCTCTGTAATGTTTTATCTACCACCCGCACCATGGGTATGAGGTACATAATAGTTTGATATCTTTATTATGCACTCCATTCCCATCCCGTGGGAATGGAGTACAGAGGTACATAATGGGTCCAGGGACTGTGCCTCAACATTACAGAGGTACATAATGGGTCCAGTGACTATGTCACAAAGTTGTGATAACCTAACAAGTTACAAAGGTAATGAACCATTCACACGTCTACACCTGATCACAACTGCAATAATTTATTAATGCAAATATTAACTTTATTAACAGTGATCAAAGTCAGGGTATTTCTCCAGAATGGTCTGTAATATAACACTGTGGATAAAATACTTTGACATTTCTTGAACATTTCCGAGCGAATTATCTCTGAATTCATTAATTTTATCGCATTATAACGATATTAGAGCATCATTATGTTCTTGTATTGATTTATTCAACATGGAACAAGGTTTACGGATAGTGGAAGAATGGGAATTGAGATGAGTGTGATAATAGAGAATGGGTACATGTAGGTAGGTTTTTGGTGGGGTGGGGTATTATATTTATTGATTTATTTATTTGAACATTATACATAAAAGTACAAAGAAATACAGTGGTTAAGTGTAACATGCCGAAGCCCCTGTATGCAGAGCATTATGGGCAGGCTTAAAATTAACTTAAGATTAACTAAGCAATGATATATTAAACCATACCCCCGGCCGGGATTGAACCCGCGGTCATAGAGTCTCAAAACTCAAAACTCAGCAATGATATATTCAGTGGTAAACATTATTGCAAACAAATAACAATTAAGCACAAATGAGTATTTCAAAGACAGGTTATATGGTCATTTACTGTGTTGCTGAGCATTCTGTAGCATGGAGTATATATGGGAAGGAGGACGTGAGGGAATGGGAGGGGAGAGGAACGTGAGGAGAGGAAAATGAGGGAAGGGGGTGACTCAGAGCAGAGCAAGGTGGGGTAGACTGACCTTTGAACCGTCTGGGTATTGGAGGGTGAAGTCCCCAGGACTTGGGTTGTGAAGGTAGCAGAATTTATCCACTTCACCCAACGGATGACATCCTGGGATAGGGAACCGACCACGACCTGTAAACAATGACATTAATGAATTAACTGAAGTGTAATGAACACGTGTCACTGTTCAATAATAACCCACTTGGGGCCAGAAACTCAGGAGGTTGATTGATCTATATATTTCGACCCCCTGCAGAGCGCCTCTGCTGAAGAGGATCCCAGGAGGAGGTCGTAATATACTGATTAATCAACCTCCTAAGTGTCTCTCTCTATGTGGGTTATTACTGAGCAATAACATTAACTACCACATGTACAGCTTCTTGTAGGAGACGGCTGTTAAATCTTGATATTTTCGTGAGCCTTTGTGAAAACAGTTTTAATTCATTTCTTTATATTCACTACTGTAGATTAGGTTACGTTAAATGAACGTAAGTAAACCAAAGTGAATTAATTATGACACATATAACATATTACTATATTGAAAAAGCATGTTCCGATGTTGTTGCAGAAAACTTGGAACGATGTGAGCAGTTATATCCATACACCGTAAATCCAAAGTTCTGGTTTAGTGTCTTAAATCATGGTGAAAAATCGATTTCTTAGGAGTTGAAAGAAGAGTGACGTACCGACTTTGCAGCATTCAGTGGGACCACAGATTTCTGAGCCGCACTTCTGTGAGGCAGCCAACTGGACACAGGCCACACACACTATTAACAGCACAACACGAACCATCACAACCATCCTGGCGAGCACATGTGTGTTACTTGGTTGGGTTGGAGATCATACGATACACACACACACACACACACACACACACACACAGATGGGACACAGCAACAAGGGGTCACAATTGGAAGTTGAAGACTCAGATGAGTCAGAGGGATGTTAGGAAGTATTTCTTCAGTCATAGAGTTGTCAGGCAGTGGAATAACCTAGAAAGTGACTTAGTGGAGGCGGAAACCATACATAGTTTTAAGACGAGGTATGATAAAGCTCATATAGCAGGGAGAGAGAGGACCTAATAGCAATCAATGAAGAGGCGGGGACAGGAGCTATGACTCGACCCCTGCACCCAGAAATAAGTGAGTATACATGTAGGTGTGTACACACACACCTCAAGGGAGGCTCCTTGAAGCTGGTAAGGGGCTCTTGATCTAGGGAATTGGATCTGTGCTTCAGTTCCCTGAACTGAGCCTTAATACCTTCCATCCCCCGCCCCACAGGCAATGTATATTCCCTACGGGTTCAGCGCTCCTCCATGATAATAATAATACACACACACGAGGTACGATAAAGCTCATGGAGCAGGAAGAGAGTGGACCTAGTAGCAACCAGCGAAGATGCGGGGCTAGGAGCTATAACTCAACCCTTGCAACCACAAATTGGTAAGCAAAGCACACACACACACACACACACACACACACACACACACACACACCTGTTTAAATGGGACCCAGAGATGCGGAAGGAAAAGCAGTGGGGACAGGGGAGAGAGAGGTCAGTTTTTATTCAAGAGCTTCAGGAGACTGAAGGGAAGACATGTGAAGGAAGACAACAGGGAAAGAAAAAAGAGATTGAAAATATTATCAAACAGGACAGGAGGACACGACCGAGCTGATATATTTTCAGAGAATAGGGGGATCTTTGCAAATATACAGGATCTATAGCCAGCAACGAACAACAAAATTCCTTTCATCAGTGGACTGCTTACAGAGTTAGTTTAATATCTTTATTATGCACACCATACCCATCCTGTGGGCGGTAGTCAAAAGATTACAAAGGTACATAATGGGTCCAGGGACTGGACCCCAAAGTTATGATAACTGAGCTAGTTACAAAGGTAATGAACTCCAGGTAGATCTGGTCACAATCATGGCAAGTTACAGAGGTAATGAATCAGCCTCACTCCTATACATGGTTACAGTCATAAACAAATTACAAAGTAATGAGCCACTGATACGTCCACACCTGGTCACAATTGTAATGAGTTATAAATACAAATATTAAGTGGGTCATACACTCACACAAGCGCGCGCCACAGAGTCAAACACTATTCACGGTTTTCACAGAGACCCACATAAAGGATCACTTTAACAATGAAATACGGATCTCGGGTTATAACCTATACAGATGTGACAGAGTGAATAGGCAAAAGGGAACGGGGGGTTGGCCTGTACGTTACAGAGTCACTGATGTGTTCAGAACTACTAAATATAAATAATAATAATAATAATAATAATAATAATAATAATAATAATAATAATAATAATAATATCTTTATTTTACTACAAGTACATGTACATGTTATACAGACCATAGCTGACATCAATGACATACTACTATATAGAAAGCCGCTTGTTATACTCAGCATTTCGGGCAAATTAGGTCAGTGTCCCAGGATGCGACCCACACCCGTCCACTAACACCCAGGTACCTATTTTACTGATGGAGAACATAGACAACAGGTGTAAAGAAACACGCCCAATGTTTATACTCTGGCTGGGAATCGAACGCAAGCCCTTACCATGTGAAGCGAGAGCTTTAGCCACCAGGCCACCAGAGCCTCAAATGATGTTGTTGATGTTTTGGCAGTAAAGACTTAGAACCAAAACCTGGTCATTGTACTTGTATACAAGCCTCCAGATGCAACTTCCCAACAATTCCAGGAACAGCTTTTGAAAATAGACCAGTGTCTGGAAAAGCTTCCAGCTCTTGCCCCAAATATCTTGCTCCTGGGGGATTTCAACCTAAGACACCTAAAATGGAGGAATGTAGCAAATAATGTTGCAGCAGAGATAATCCCAGGAGGCAGCTCAGATGAAAACTCGCACACACACAAGCTTTTAAATCTCTGCATCGAATTCATCATAAACCAGCAAACAATAGAGCCTACAAGATTGGAGAATACACTGGACCTCATCTTCACTAACAATGATGATCTGATACGAAATATTACCATATCAAAAACAATATACTACTCAGATCACAACATAATAGAGATTCAGACATATATGCGTGGAGCCCCAGACCGACAAAATGTGATCAGTCACGAGGGAGCATTCACCAAATTCAACTTCAATAACAAGAACATAAAGTGGGACCAAGTAAACCAAGTCCTAAATAATACAAACTGGGAAGATATTCTAAGCAACACGGATCAAAATGTATGTCTAGAATAAAATAACACTGGCACTCGAGGTATACTTAATGCGTATTCCTTTAAGGAAAAGGAAGAGAAGATGTAAACTAGAAAGAGGAAGGAGCTCCCTGTACAGGCGAAGGCGAAGAATAACAGAGCGGCTAAAAGAGGCCAATATATCTGCAATACAAAGGGAGTCACTGGTCAGAGAAACAGCAGACATAGAACTTTAGCTAAAGGAATCTTACAGGAGTCAAGAAACGCGGGAAGAACTAAAAGCCATAAATGAAATTGAAAGAAGCCCAAAATAATTCTTTTCTTATGCCAAATCTAAGTCGAGAACAACATCCAGTATTGGGCCACTACTTAAACAAGATGGGTCCTACACAGATGACAGCAAGGAAATGAGTGAGTTACTCAAGTCCCAATATGACGCGGTTTTTCGTGAGTCGTTAACCAGACTGAAAGTCAGACTTAAATGATTTTTATGAGCGAGACAGAATTTGTCAGACTCAAACCTGTCTGATACTATCCTGATGCCAAATGACTTCGAAAATGCAATAAATTACATGGCCATGCATTCTGCCCCAGGCCCAGACTCATGGAACTCCGTGTTCAACAGGAACTGCAAGAAACCCCAATCATGTGTTTTTAACATCCTATAAAGAGGGAGCATGGACACAGGGGTTGTCTCACTCCACAAATAGGGCAATTAAGCGATAGCAAAGAACTACAGACTGACAGCGCAAACATCCCATATCACAAAAATCTTTGAAAGGGTTCTGAGCAAGATCGCCACTCATCTAGATACCCATCAGTTACACAACCCAGGGCAACATTAGTTTAGAGCAGGTCTCTCCTGCCTGTCCCAACTACTGGACCACTATGACAAGGTCCTGGATGTTCTGGAAGACAAACAAAACGCAGATGAAGTATACGCAGACTTGGCAAAAGCCTTTGACAAGTGTGACCATGGTACACAAAATGGGTAATAAAGGAATAACATGAAAAGTTGGTAGATGGATCTATAATTTCCTAACAAATAGAACACAAAGAGTAGTTGTAAACAGAGTAAAGTCTGAGGCGGCCACTGTGAAAAGCTCTGTTCCGCAAGGCACAGTACTCGCTCCCATCCTGTTCCTCATCCTCATATCTGACATAGACACACATGTCAGCCACAGCACCGTGTCTTCCTTTACAGATGACACCCGAATCTGCATGACAGTGTCCTCCATTGAAGATACCGCAAGACTCCAGGCGATGTAGTGGAGGCAGGAACCATACATAGTTTTAAGACGAGGTATGATAAAGCTCATGGAGCATCGAGAGCAAGGACCCAGTAGCGGTCAGTGAAGAGGCGGGGCCAGGAGCTGAGCATAGACCCCTGCAACCACAATTAGGTGAGTACATCAACCAAATCTTTAAATGGGCCGCAGAAAACAATGTGAAGTTCAATGATAAGAAATTTCAATTACTCCAATTACAGCCTGGTTGATCAGGCGCTGATCCACCAGGAGGCCTGGTCACAGACCGGGCCGCGGGGGCGTTGACCCCCGAAACTCTCTCCAGGTAACTCCAGGTAAACTCCACTATGGAAAACGTGAAGAAATTAAAACTATATCGGAGTACAAAACAAATTCCAACCACACAATAGAGCGAAAAGCTCATGTAAAAGACCTGGGAGTGACAATGTCAAAGGATCTCAATTTCAAAGACCATAACATTGTATTAATCGCATCTGCTAGATAAATGATAGAACGCATAATGAGAACCTTCAAATCTAGGGAATATACCTATAACCCACCATGATAATATAATAAGTATGTTTATGGAGCAAATTGCAATGTGAACAGACTGACTGATGTTGTAGTGGCCAGGCTTAGGCTTGGTTACAAGTACTGACTGATGTTGTAGTGGCCAGGCTTAGGCTTGGTTACAAGTACTGACCAATTGTTGTAGTGGGCAGGCTTAGGCTTGGTTACAAGTACTGACTGATGTTGTAGTGGCCAGGCTTAGGCTTGGTTACAAGTACTGACCAATGTTGTAGTGGGCAGGCTTAGGCTTGGTTACAAGTACTGACTGATGTTGTAGTGGCCAGACTTAGGCTTGGTTACAAGTACTGACCAATGTTGTAGTGGGCAGGCTTAGGCTTGGTTACAAGTACTGACTGATGTTGTAGTGGTCAGACTTAGGCTTGGTTACAAGTACTGACTGATGTTGTAGTGGCCAGGCTTAGGCTTGGTTACAAGTACTGACTGATGTTGTAGTGGCCAGGCTTAGGCTTGGTTACAAGTACTGACTGATGTTGTAGTGGCCAGGCTTAGGCTTGGTTACAAGTACTGCTGATGTTGTAGGGGCAGGTTTAGGTTTGGTTACAAGTACTGACCTTGAGGGGTTTGGGTGGCCAGGTGCATGATGGCTTGGTACAAGTACTGACTGATGTTGTAGTGGTCAGGTTTAGGCTTGGTTACAAGTACTGACCAATGTTGTAGTGGTCAGGCTTAGGCTTGGTTACAAGTACTGACTGATGTTGTAGTGGCCAGGCTTAGGCTTGGTTACAAGTACTGACTGATGTTGTAGGGGCCGGGTTAGGCTTGGTTACA